ATGAATTTGTTAAGACCTATTACAAAATATATTATTAATGGTGTACATTTATGATGAATTTTGTGGTATTAGTGTTTATTGAAGTAGAATGTACATACATTAGCATAAGCATTGCAAGCCTGGACTATTTAGCTGAGTAAACAAACACTTACAAAGCATGAGTATAACTATGTAAGTAAAAAAACCCACAAGTTTTGCTTATATATTTTATGCTATAGTTAAACTTTGCCAGCGTAGTATTGTATTGTTGTTATTAATTACACATTGGTTCATATTAAGTACAAATTATTTCTAAATTTAATCTATGGTCAGTGAGGGAAGGTAGGTGAGCTATGAGGCAGAGCTTCTATTAAAGAAAAGGATACAATTTTTTTCTGTTCAAACATGCCATTTACTTATTACCTTTTAGAAGTTTTCATTTTAAAGCTGAAATACAACTACTCTGATTACAAGGACAATGAATAAAGTAGGAATACAATAATGTATGATAGAAAGTTAAATAGTATTTTCTTAACGAAAATATGCCATATGTTTGAGCATCATGAATGTCATTGGGGTATAACATTGAATCTATATAGGGAGAAGAAATCTTTTTTGAATACAGTCAACATTAACTGTGCCTCTTTTAAGGGTGGCAATAAATTAAGCTAATATTAAGATACCTTATTCTTCCATAACAGTTATATATCATTGCATCTTTATCCAATGCAAAACAATTTTGGTTTATACAGTTAGTTGTTTTCCTTGTGTTTTTTTTTTTTTTTTCATTTCATTTGGCCTGTTACCTTAACTTTGCATTTGTTAGGTGTGTGATACTTTTTGTGTAATGATGGTGATCTGTTAGGTGAGACATAGTAGATGCTGCAACTAAATAGTTCCTATTTTTTCAGTGTTTGAATTGCAGGGTTTTGAAGGGAATAGCGAACAGAAGACTGGTTGTGTGGTAGTAACTCAACATCCATCCTAACAATGGATTATAACTTTTTTTTCCACACAAAGGGGAAAATGCCTCTGCGAGAAATAATATGCTTCTGGGAATGATGCAGAACTCAGCCGGGTGTAATTCTAACTGATGGGAGGCTGTAAATCTGTACCAGGAGCTTGACTGTGTTTTTGTAGGTCTACTGGTACAGGATTAAGTTTTGTATTTTTACCTTTGAACTGTACCCACTTAGGAATGCTACTCATTTAGACCTCAGTTTAGAACCAACCCACATAGGCCTATTACTTACTATTTATTATTGTGCTACTGACTTCATGAAGGATGACTCCTGAAACTGAGGCTATAAGAACATTTGCTGGTGTACTTAATCACAATTACTTTCAAGTTTGCTGGTTTTCATCTGCCGGTTTTTATGTATTTCTCAATATAGGTTTTGTCATTAACGTGGCTTGAAAGGTAGAGACTAGTGCTAAGACTAAAAGAGCAGGTAAACATCTAATTTTTAAAAGGTGTTATGATGGCTTTTAATCCCAAGTAAATTGCCCTGAATACTTGCATACTTTATTATCCTTTATTGATGGTGTCTTAGTATGAGCGTGTGCATCTAAAATGTAATGTAAGATGAAAATGTTATCAGAAGACTAATATATACAATAGTATGAGGATGATACTGAGTTATCTTTATACCAGAAAGATTGGTCATCTGGTAGACTAACAGTTTATTTTAAGCTTTTCATCATTGTTTTCCAGTTGGAAGATAATATGTTGTTCCAAGTTCAGTGAGAAAGAATTGTGTTGTTAAAAACTGCACCATGTACTTTTTGTCTATTAGAGATTTTGGAGGCAGGCTTTCATATAGCCCGTAGATGAATATCTTAAAAGCCCTCCTATAAACAACAAGGACGATTTATATGAGTGAAGAGAAAGTAGTGATATCTGGACACATTATGATATGCAGAACTCTCTGTGGCTCTGCTACCCCACTGTGACCTTGCAGAAGCCATTTTTCTCTCAAACAGCATCATCAGTTACTGAGTGGCCCATTTTCCCCATCAGGCATACTTAGCCCAATAGCTGGGTATATTTTAGTGGGTGGATGGGTAGGAGATGAGTCATTGCATTTTTTTTCTGCTGTTAAAGTATAGAATCCTTGTGGGTGTTGTTTCTGTAGTCTCAAATCACTACTTTGGTGTAGTTAACCAGTCTTGAAGAAGAATAGGGCAGTTCGCATCTTTCAAAACTATTCTTGCAATCTGTCTGCAGACTCAGACACCTTTGTATTTTTTATGTTCAGTTTATCATGAGGGCTAGAACCCTACTTTCCAAATGGTTCTCAGATAAGCAAGGAGCCTGCAGCCTTTAGCTATGTTCTACAGCATTAATGTCTTAATTTGTGTCTTGGCACAGTGTATGCATTAATTATTTTATATGACACACTGGGGGTTAGACTATGCTATTATTATCAATGATTTCTACTTCTTTCTGTTTGTTATATGAGAGGGGCTCCAGATCATTCTGACATTCCATTTCTCCCCAGGGCAGCTACAAGATACTAGCAACTTCAGGAGGAAAAAAATCCATGTTGTTCTTCTTTTTATGTTTCATGTGCTAGTTTCAGATAATAGAAGCCGACCTGAAATTTAACAAATTAATTGGACTGGAGATAGAAAAGTTTGAAAGGCGACAAAAGCAGATTTATCAGTGGTCTAAAAATTGATGTTTGTGTGACAGGGTTTTGACATCTAATAACATTGTTTGAAAGTTGCATTTCATTTTTTTTTGCTATCTATAAATGAACTGATATTTCTGGGACATTGATTTAAGCAAGTTGCATTGTTACAGTATACGTTCTTTTTGGTTTGGTGCCCAATCTGTTATTGCAAGTCTGTTGTTACTGGCTATTTATTTTCATTTCCAAACTCACTATGGGCAAAGATGTAATATTCCCCAAAGGACCATGATTTTGACTGAAACCATGTAAAGGAAGTGCTAATTCTATTTTATTACTAACCTACTGACAAGTTCAGCTGCTTTCAAGGTGGTTATTGTTACACAGTCAGCAACTAGTGATATTGCTGATGTCTTGCTGAGAGACTAGAGTCAAGCAACAACATATGGTGAAATAAACATGCTTTTGCAACACAGCCAACTGAAAATATATTATTGTACACAAGCCTCACCCTTTTTATGTCCATTTAATTATGAAAGTTTGATTAAATCAAATAAAAGAGCTAAAAGAAAAATGAAATAGAACATTGTTGTTTTTCCAGGAAATAAGCCAAAAAAGGTTATCAGGTGCGAGTCTACAAGTTATTCTCCCCTTATTTACTGCATTTGAAATATAATGCATCAAAGAAAGCAGCTAATAATAGGACTGTGGTTGCAAAATGGCCCTTAAGTGATCCTGAGCCACAGGCCTCTAAAGCTGTTGGAAAGATTTGCCTGGACTTTGATTGGGAGCATTTGATCAGGCCCCAAATTGTGATGATTCATGCTCACTGAAGAGTGGAACTGACTGAAAAGGAATTTTTTTCCTAATGTATGAAAAGAAAAAAAACCCCCAAATTTTAAAAATAAGTTTTCCTGGAAGCAGCACTTTGTTGAATCTGTTTAGAGTTCTGGAGGTACTCTCATATTAGCTAGCCAAAAGTAACGTTGGCCATTATCTTGGTCCATTTGAAGTTTTTGCAAGTTTGTCATTAACTTCAAAGAAGATACAGTCTTAGTGTGTAAGGTTGCTTATTTTAAAAGTGCAGTGAGCCATCTTGCACATAATTCATGATAAGTGTGTCCACATAGTGGACCAATGTAGAGTGGTTTGTACAATATAAATTTACACACAAGTTTACTGTGTGCTCTCTCCTTGTAGAGATAAAGACCTTCTCCCATTGGGAAGGCTCTGGACATCTGCTGCAGCCAGGGAGAGAGACTATATTTGTGTGAGAACAGAAGGTCTGGAATGAAGGGACACCACTTCTTATAATGAATTATATACTAAGAGAAATGCAGATGTTAAAGCACACATGAGCATAATCCATATAATAGCAGGTGTCTTCCATCCCTTATTCTGTTACTACCTATTTTTGTACATTGATACAATATCATGTGTGGAGACCAGTTGTTTCTGATTTATTTAGCTTATCTTTCAACATATAACAAAACTATCATGCACTGTTTCTTATATTCCCTGCTGATTGGTCTGTATCCTTTTATATCATGGGAATGTGTCATCAGGGAAAATATAATTCATATAGCTAGGAATAACTGATGCAAAATAGAGATCTTAATCAAGATTTTGATATCTACAAAATTTAGAGGCATCCGAATCCATGCGTTAATCTGTCCCCTGTAAAATTAGAATAAGGTAAACAAGCTAATTTCTACTTTGTAGTTGCAGTAGTGTCTTCAGTATAATATAGATGCATTGGAGTTAACTTTAATCTACTATGTTGTATGTTGATAGCATTCTGACGGTCATTGCAGGTTGCAGAATGCACCTGTGAGGCGGAATACATTAACCCTCACTGGGTGCATCTACATGGGCCATTTGGGTGGCACCAATAAACAATGGAGTTTATTGCTTTGCAGTTTAATGGTCCTGGGAAGCTCCTGGTGCATGGTTTACACGCGTGCCTGGCAAACAGCACATTAAGCCAGGTCACAGCAGCTCTGGCTGGCAGGAGGCCCTGGGGGTCATCCTGCCAGCCTGGTGTTATATAATATTTGCTGCTTGCTCCCGAGTGACCAGCCGTCATTTTGGGAGAGTGCTGACTGTGCTAACTTACAGATAAGCAGCCATCATTTTAGAGAAGTACAAAGGTACTAAATGTTCTAACTCACAGATAGCAGCCGCAGTCATTGCATATATTGTCACGCTATTGCCGTAACTGTTGGGCACTTCCTCAAATCCGGGGGGAGACTCAAACCCGGGGGGAGACCACCATATAAGGGAACGAACAGAATAATAGAAGCTAATTGGTTCACGGGGACACTGACAATTGTGTCGGTCTTATAAAACAACCAAGGAATCCGGAAGAAATCATTCCGGAGTCCGAGACTGAACAAGCAGGGTGGAATCTGGCCAATTCTTATCCCAGTCTCCCGAACGCCCACCGATATCCAAAACCCGGGTGACCCCTCCGTACCCCGAATGAGTGATCTCTCCCAGGGGAGCGAATAACTGCAGTATCTGTAACAGCTTTAAGAACACTGAGCCTCACTACCAACGTGAGTACAAAAATAAAACTTTTTGCATTACGCTTTAAGTGCCAAGGGACTCTGCCTCCGTGTTATTACCTCCTCGTTCTCGCCCAGAGCATTTAACTCCACCGTACTGTGACACCTGGGGCTTCTCTAACCGGACTCAGCGTGCTGCAGAGGGGCTGGCTGAGGCACAAGGGTGCTAGCCAGCAGGCAGCCCCTGCATTGAAGCACCCCTGTGCCTCAGCCAGCCACATTTACACGTGCACTGCTGCACATGGAAAAATTCCACAGCAGGGTAGGACCTGCATTTACACATCCTACCCTGATGCAGAGTTTATTAGTTTCATGCACCCAAATAGGGACACATGTGTAGATGCTGAGACATTTACTATGCAGTTAATCAATCAACTGCTGTGCAGTAAATGTCTCATGTAGATGCACCCAATGAGATCTCAGCCACTGCAGATAGATTGATATTGGCAGCCAAGATAGCTAGTTTAAGCCTTGATCTATTATGTGTCCACTCCAGTATGCTGCAGTCACATGAGGCTGAATCTAGATTCAAACTTAGAGCATCTTCTGCACAGTTCAAAAACCCAAGAGAATTCTGATTTTCAGTTTTTAGATCATTTTTTTCTCCAACTATTAGAAATTTTGAATTTTTGTATTTTATTTTATAGGGTCCAGAAACTTTCTTTGTGTCTGAATCAATCCTCTATGTGCCAAGGCCTGCTGTTATTTAAAAAACAATGCTGGCAGAAACGCAATTGAAATTCAGCAAGCTGTTCACTAGCTGGACACTGGAAAAATTATGGGCATGTTGCAGCAACTTCAGAGATTTGCTTCTGGTAGACACTAATATTTGCAAGCTTCCTTTTTCTTGTCTGCAAGATCATTGGAAATGAGCAGTGGCCTATTGAGGTTTCCCAGTATCTCTTGGTTTCAGGTAGACTCTTCTCATGGCATTTTCAGCCTTTCTTTGATTAGATTCCAAGGCAAGCTATGTGACACCAGGTGGCTGTGTTTTGCTAAAGCTCCACTGAGGGGGAATTAATATTGGTCCTTTGACCTGTTTTTGGCTTATTACACCTGTTTGTTTTCATATGATTTCTGCTTGATTCAAAACATACTCACGCATCCAAAAAACCCAGATCTTGGGAGGGTTGGGGGGGGCGGGAAATTTTGAAAATTTAGCACTTTAGGGTTATGATCTTTAAAGGGATGAAAAAATAAGAGGATGAAAGAGAATGAAAAAATAGCTTCAAAACATGTTAATGGTACACATTTATTAATACAAGGCAAGGGAAGACTCTTAACTTGCACATGGTAATTTGAGGACAGCAGAGTGACAGTGGATAACTGGTTCCCACATGTTTACATCAATTGAATCACCTTCATATTCACAGCCAACACACCATAAGCAAACTAATTATGACCCTTTGGTAGATCAGCTCAGGTGAAATAGCCAGGGTGCTAGGACCATGCACAGTCTCTCTTCTAGCAAAGTTGCACTAAGATGCAGACCTAAGCATGGCAATTTTGAGTGGGCCAGCAATGCCATATTTCATGTTTCTCCATATACTCTGTCTTCCCCCATTCATTCATCTTCTGGTTTCAGAGACTGCCTACAGATGTACACAATGGCAGTGTAGGGATTTCAGAGAGTGTGGCTAAGAACTTACCTTTTGTGATGTAGAAGAGGCATGTATATTAGATCTCCAGATTATGACCAAACACCTGCCTGTACTCCAACAAAAGGAGCTAGGCATGTGGGAACCAGTCTGGTCAGTTGGTCAAGTGAAGTCCAGCTACTTTTGTTGGGATTACTGTACATAATTGTAATTGTTGGGAAAAGTACTGAAAGGAACAATAGTCTAGACAGCTGCCCCCAAGTCACTGGGGAGTTTTGCATGCATTCTTGGTGAACTTACAAAGCTTTACAGAAGCCTCAACTTAAACTGCTCACTAACCTACTTAATTGTCCTTAATACACAATGCCCATAAGATCAGTGAATGTTATTTGTATTTTATATATGTATACTTTACAAAATTAGGAAGCTGGGTCTGCCCTATTAGCAGCCTTGGTATTGTGGGGAAGGTTGGCTAAAATACTGAAGTACCAGTCATATTTCTTAATGTATTTTTTGAGTGTTAAAGAGGATGCTATCCTGCTATCCATGTTGGGATAAAATCTGCCTAGGCATTGTGCGTTAAAAGGCAGGATCAATTCCTGAGTTGAGTAATATCTCATTACATTGACAGATTGGTTTCCCTAAACCAGAGGTGGGCAAAATGGAGGATCTGGCCGGCAGCTGGACTCCATTTCCCAGCAGACTCTGCCCGCATGACTGGGTCTGGTTTTCATGGAGACCCCAGGAGCAGCCCTGCTGTGATAGTGTGAGGCTGGGCTTTTTGTGGAGATCAGCCCCAGCAGCGCTGGTTGGGTATGCAGCAGGGGGCAGAGCTGCTCTGCAGCTGGGCTGAGATCTTGCGGTGGTGACAGCATGGTCTGGAGCTGGGACACAGCCATGATCCACTGCCTGTATGCCTCTGCCCAGGGCATGCAGTCTGTCGATCGCGGCTCTGCCCTGGCTGTGGACCATGCTGTCACTACTGCAAGATCCAAGCCTGGTCACAGAGCATTTCCCCACACTGCTGCACACCCTGGCAGCAGGGGTGGCTTTAGGGGCAGGCTTGGGGGGGCTATAGCCACCCCCAAATTCCCCATAGCTCCCTATAACCACCCCTCCCAGCACTGTCACCTCTGCCTGCCCTGCACAGGTGGCAGCAGCTGAGTCCGCCCTACTCTCAACCACAACAGAGCCCCGACACCAGGAAGAGGCTGGTGTTGCTGTTGCCTGTCAGCGTTGCTGGGGCTGGTCTACACGGAAACCCCGGTCCCACGCTATCACCATGAGGCTGTTGCTCCGGACTCCATTGAAACTGGTCGCAGCCACGTGGGCAGAGGCTGCTAGGAAATGGAGTCCATTGCTGACGGATCCAGCCTGCAGGCCAGACTTTGCCTGCTCCTGCGCTAAACTATTGCATTAGTGTCTAAGCCTAATCAGCAAATTCATCCAGGCTTTCCATAGTCACTCTGCATTCCCTTCAAGGATTCTGTTTATTTTTCCATCTTCTTTGGCTCAACATTAAAGTTCACATTTTAACCTCCTTTACATTAATTTAATCTTCATTACTATTTGCAATATTATATTTACCAGGCTGCTCTGTAGTTTTCTATTGGGTCAAAATGACATCAATTAAGGTTATAGATTATTGTCTTTTTTATTAAATTAATAGTAATTATTCCAATCTTAATTAATTCAGAGCATAAGAAAGGCAAAAGGGGTGTGTGCAAAGCTAGTTACTAAAGTGCTTAGACTTTCAGAAGTTTTTAATAGAAGGCACCTTGCAAGATACCCCTTCTTACTGTAGTCAGCACACAGCTGCTGTTAATTAACTTAGCCTCTCTGGATGACTTAACATTCCATTATTTTGGCCATGAGAAATACCCATCTTTCCAAACTTTGAGAGGAAGTATGTGGTTTCATTTAAAATCTTACAAGCATAGGGTTTTCAGTATTATTTTTTCTTGGTACTTTTTGTATTCACTATTTAATAGACTCTTAAAATAAATACTTTTCCCTTTAAAAAAAAAATTGTATGGTCAGTTGGTCCATTTGTCTCTTTCTATTCTCTTCTTCTCTTTCTCTTCTTTTCTTTTCTTTTCCTTGTTAATGTTTGAGGTGGATAAATAGGCTAACTCAAAACGTGTTTTCCCCCACTCTTATTTATGTAGTACAAAAGACTGATTTAGTTTTTCCAGTTTAAAAATGGTGCATTTTACTAGCATATACAATATAATAATTTTATGTATGGACCAACCAAAGAATATACAGGTGCAAAGAGGGAAGAAAAGAACCCCAGCATAAGGAAAAGAGATGAAATAACTAAACAATATGGATGTATCTCAATCTGCTCAAGAGACATGCACAGAAATGTTGTGATTTTTCCAGAATAGTCTGTCTGCATTGGCAAAATGCCAAGCCTACATATAAAAATATACTATTGTTTTAGATTTTTATATTGTTATGTAAAAATGATTCAGCTATTGTTAATAAGTAAAGTTTTTAAAAGCCACTTGCATCTTGTAAGAACCTAGATCCAGTTTCCAAAACTGTTTATTTATTGTTTATAATGGTATAATGCTATCTATGCAATAATTGTTTTGCCATTTTAACTACATAAGCCTAATTGAAATGAAAATATTTATTTTAAGGATAGACAATCCCTTAGGCTCCTAGGCACCTTAACATCAGACTCCAAGCTCATGAATGATTTAGGAACTACATTTTCCCAATATCTTTTTACTAAATAGGGCACTGAGAGACCCACTTGAAGTAATTCTCAAAGTAATGAATTATAGGACTTTTTAATTTTCAGTTACAATGCTAAATTCTATCTTTGGGGCTAGGGGCAGACATTACACATACACTGGGTTAAGTGATCAGAAACTGGTTTAAACTTGTAATAGAACAGATCTTCAGTGCACATATACCAGTTTCAGAATGGCTGAAACCAGTTTGAGATAAACCTAGTTCAATGTAGTATCAGAGTTAACTGATTTGTATCAAACTGGTTTATGCAATGTCTGTCCCAGGCCCCTTCCTGGCTTAAGATAAAACAGAGTCCCCAGTGCCCAGCATGCACTGTGGGATGGGCAGGGCTCTCTGTTCCACAGCAGGGCTGGCTTCTCCCCTCTTCTTCCTGGCTGGAGCTCCAGAAGAGACTGTGGGCTGCTCCCCTCCATCCCCTGCTAAGCAGGAATCCACCTTCCCCTCTGTCTTGCTGAGGAGGTGTTTGTGTATTAGCTAGCAGCCACATGCTGGCTAAGGTCTATGCTGAGTCAACAGCCAGAATCAACAGGTAGCTGGTAATGTCCTTCTGCTTTCTTAATAGGGTGATAAACACTGAATTAGGGGTGATAAACACTGTTATCAATTCCCTGCTGGGCTAATTAGAGC